TTTTTTTTTTTCTTTTTTCACTGAAAAACACTTGCTAATCTGTTACTGGATTTTCTTAAATTAAGAAGAAAATAAATATATCCATCCGCTTAACAAATAAGATTATCGTGATTAAATTGTTAAGTTTAAAAATATCATCACGTATAATTATAATATATAACTGGTAAAATGGATAAAGAGGATGAAATTGCATTAAAAACTTAAATAGATATATTATTAATCTTATCGTTATTATAAATTCTTATATTTTCAAAGTAAGATGTAATAAATAAGTTTTAAGATTCGACTTGTCTCGAATATAATAATAATTATTGTTCAATAGTTATTTTTATTTAAATTTCCTACGAAAAATACAATTAATTTTATTCATAATAACAACAAGAAATCATTAAGATATTTCGAAAATATTATTTTATTGAATGTTATAAATTGAAGACTCTTTAGAAAGATTCTCAATCTTGCACAAAATAATTACGACAATATAACCAATAGCATTATACCCCATACTTGTCTCCTAAACTACATAATACCGAGTTCAAGAGTGCCGTTATAACATGCGGGGGCGTAGGTATGCACGTGCACGGCCATTGAGTCCTCGTCAGTGCGTGAAAGAATTCCACAGGGGGTGCGTTGCCCGTTGAAGAAAGTCTGCTGCGGCTGACCGCTCGTTAAAAAGTTTAACCGGCCGTTTATTAGCAGAACAGAGAGGGAACGAACAAGAGTTGGAGAGGGGAAAGAAGTAATATATAGGGCGAGTACGAAATGTAGCTTCTACCTTGACGTTTCGCTTGACGACTTTACCCCCACCGTCGCCCTTTCACTTCCCTCGTTTCTGTTCCACGGGTTAATTCTTGACGCGCACGCTTTCGATAACAAGGTTGTTTCAAGTGGCTCTCCCAAGCTTGGGGGATCTCTATTACTTGCCCCGAGCAACTATATCGAGTGTTCCGCTGTTTAACTTAATTGCCGCTAGCTGCTACTTCGCTGTTGCTCTCTTTTTACATAGAGGGCAGGTTCGTCGCTTAGTTAATATGGTTCCCTCTTACAATGAGCGAGTGGAATTTGATTGGGTGTTTTTTTGAATGCCATTGAGTGTTTCGACTGTAGTTGGCCAATGTATGAGGTATTTTCTTCATCGTTTATAGGGAATTTTTATTGTTATAGAGTGTTATATCTTGTGATGTATATACAATGTGGTATTGAGAACTAGTAATAATTTTACTTTGACTCTACAATGTAGAATATTTTAAATGTTTTTATATAACTTTTTTCATATAAATATTTAGTTATTACAACAAAACTTCCTATTATCTTCTATTCTGTATTTTTTATAGTACTGTTTATTTATGATATAATTAGTATTTATATACTAATTATTATCTAAATAATAACATTTTTCTAATTTTCTATTTCAAGTAATTATTATTTAATTCTATCTAGTATAATATATCTCCAGCGATTGTTAACGTTTTTAGTCATGTACGTATAGTTAACTAACAATAAGTCGTTATATATTCGTCGTTACCAATTGATTGGAACCGTCCAATGCGAATATCAGCAGGTGGTAAATACACGCGGGGCTCACAATAAAAGATGTACAACGTTTTTTCAAGGGTGTCAAGGATCCGTAAGAGTCAATTCGGCATGCGTCGTAGAACAATATAAAGTGTTTGCTGGCTGGAGAATTTCATAGGTATTGTGCGTATTA